CCTCTGTTACCACCATTCAACAAAGGCTGCGCTATCCTCTTCCCTGCTCACCAGGATCACACACAGCTATCAGAAAAGAGGTTCTCAACGTGTGGGTCGCGACCCCTGGGCGTTAAGCAACCCTTTTGTGGGAGTCGTATATCAGATGCATGTCAGATATTTACATTATGACTTATAATAGTAGCAAAATTACAGCTGTGAAGTAGCAATAATTTTATGGTTGGGGATCACCACAACATGAGGAACTATGTGAAAGGGTCGAGCACTAGGAAGGTTGAGAACCACTGCTGAAATTTTCATGTTATCTATCAAAAACTCTTACCCCTTTTATAGGCAAAGACACCAAGGTCCAGGAAGCCTCAGAGACTCTAACAAGGGCATTCTGAGGTAGCTGCCCAAGCAGAAGACAAAAGTCAAATCTGCCCATGGCTCGGTGTTCCTTCTGTCCACTCCCTAGCTCAGCTCAGTGAGTACAAGGGACCAGCCAGAGTGAGAGAACATGTCAGTCAAGACAGAGCCACTTGGGCTAAGGAGATGAAGCAGTCAAATGTGATCTCTGGGGCTTGCGGGGCCGCCAGTCTAGCTCAATTGTCCGGCTCTGGGCTCCTTGTGAAACCTCATCTCAAAGAAAGAAGATGAAGAGTGAATAAGGAAGATGCCTGATGTTGACCTCTGACCCACTCGCACAGGCAAGCAGGTGAGCATGCACCCATACACACGTGTATGTGCATATGCGCAGGGAGCCTCTTCACTCTTACTGCCTGGTTCCCAAACCAGATTTCTGTGACGCTAAATCTTCACAATCTCAGAATCTGCTCTCTGACAGGGCCCTGAGAGGCTGACAAAAGTCAGTGTGTTCCCTGGCAGGCTTGCCCTGGCAGCTGCCCAGCCGGCATACGCTAACGCAGCCAACAGACACAGGAAAGAGCCTAGAAAGTGGAAAAGCACCAGTGAGCCACTGAGGGGACAGAAGCAAGTCCTGCTCTGCTCAGACAGGATAAGCCTGCCCCAAAGGCTTCATCACGGGGCTGGGGAAAGACCCAGGGAGGGCTGGAAAGCACACAAAACGTTCCAAGTACATCCATTCAGCGATGTACTTCAGTGAACCCTGACTGTTAGCCCAGTCAAAAGACGGCCACATGTCTCCAAGGTGAATCAGCACGAGTCACCCAAGACAACCATACTTTGCTCATCACAGCAACCCTGACCTGCATTTGGCCACATGTACCTAAGCCCTGCTACTCATAAAAACATCGCCTGCACAGAGGCAAAAGAGCAGGCAGCTTCTTATCACTGCTACTACAGTAGCCACAGACCGCAGCCAGCCCGTGGGAAAGAAAGGCCTGGCTGAGAATATTAATAGACTCACTGGAGGCAGAAATTCCACAAGGACATGCCCCAGGAAATAAAATTATTTAAAAGGAGGCACAATCAAAGTGAGGCTAGAAGAGAGGATGTCTTGGATTTCCAAAGATGGCAGGCGAGGTGCGGGTAGGAGGTGCACCCGTGGGGACAGGGTTATTCTAAAATATCTGAAAAATCTAAAAATGTCTATGGGAAAGCCTTCTTCGTTTCTGCGTCTTTCTTTCCATCCGTTGATGTTTTCAAGGCTGTGTGAAGCTGCACCACACTCGTACTCGGGATACTCAAAAATGGTTGTGTTTTTTGTTTTTTCCTTTGGGGATGTTTTGCTTTTGATTTTTTGACACAGGTCTCACTATGGAGTCAGGCTAGGCTCAAACTAGATATATGGCCAAGGCTTCCCATCCTCCTGCCTCAGCTTCCTAAGTGCTATGACTATAGGCATACCCTGCAACACCTGGCTCCAAATGTTTCCATGGAAACCCAACTCTGGGGTATAGTCAAAGGACACACCCCTTTGATCTTATCAGGTAGGGAACGTTTTCCTCTGTGGTGATGACTGGAACATTCTGGAGCACATGCTCCCTAAGAGGGGCATTTTGAGAGGTCAAAGATTGGGAAGCTTGACTTTAATTATATTCTTATGTATTGCATGTGTGTATTCACACGCTTGTCACATTCTACATGTTCAAATCAGAGGACAACTTGTGGAAGTTGGTTCCCACCTTCTACCAGGTGGGATTCAAGGATCAAATGCAGATTATCAAGCTGAGTGCCAAGTGCCTTTCCCCACTGAACCATCTTGCTGGCCCTCACGTTTAATTCTTGGTTGTTTTTGTTGCTGTGAAACAGCATCTCCTATATCCCAGGTCTTGAACTCGCTGTGTCTGTGGCGGCCGTGAACTGTTTAATCTGTGTTACTGTTTGTATGTGGTCTGCGTGCTGCATGTACATGCCACAGCACAACCCAGATGACCGCTAGATGACAGCTTGGTGGAGTTGGCTCTCTCTCTATCCACCATTTTGGGTATTCCTGAGATTGAATTTAAGCCACCAAATTGTACAAGCCACCAAGTCACCCACTGAGCAGTCTCACTAACCTGACCCCGAAATTCTGATCTGCCTCTACCTCCCAAGTGCTGAGATCACAGGCACGCCCACAGCACACACTCAGTTTATATGGTGCTGAAGACAGAACCCAGGGCTTCATGCATGGGTAGTCAATTACCATGGGTAGACATTTGACTGAACTAAATGTCTAGCCTTAGCTTTTCCTTAATGAGCTGTCAATATTTAGAGAACAGGTTCTACAAACAGAAATAATAAAAACTTCATTCTGTTTCTAGCATCTCTGAGGGGGGAGATATAGAAAACATAGTGCCCCGAGCTAAACAAATGTAAAACTGAGTCTTTACTGCCCTCTATTGACAGGCCTGTGGTTTCCACGTTCCTGGCTAAGCCAGTCACTCACTTGGCACCTGACTGCCCCCTGCAGGCATCAATGTTGACTCAAGTTTAGCCCAGTGGAGCAGTCACAGGCCTGGTAATACTTAGAACGGCCACAGGGTGGCAGCACCGGGCTATTACTGAAGCACGTCACTGGCCTAGCCCAGGCTTGCAATGGCTCAGCTTAGATGATGCTTTCAGAACCAGAAATCTTCTCATCCTTACTTAGTGGCACACAGTTGCTCCTAACACTCTCCACAAGATCTGTTTGAGCAACGATGGCTTAGCTCTGCAACTCTCTTAGACACACAGGGGATGCTACTGACTGGATTTCCTCTCTTCCAGGTCACCACTTGCCCCTCTTCCCAGGATACCCACTCCATAACTGGTTTCTCCACCTGAAGCCATCCATGAGCCCTCTGGGTAGACAGTTCCTGAGATCAACAGGAGAGGCACCTTCCTCAGTGAGAGGCAGATCATGCTTAATCAAATAAATGCCCTACTTTCTCCGCTCACTTGGGTTAGCCGCCTGCTTCTTCTGGCCTTCTGCTCTCACCTCCCCAGCAATATGCTGGAAAGATGGCTTGTATTATGCACAGAGACATACCTCATCCACAGTCATTTGCTATTCCTACCACTGACTCCAAAACGCAGGGAAATCCTCACATAAGACAGTCACTGCAGTATTCAAACTCATGAACAAGCAAAACAATACCCCACAGCCTGCACTGGGGAGACTTGAGAATCAGCTTTGGCTAGAGCTTCACCTAACTGTGCAGCTACCAGAGAAAGTGATGCAAGGGACTGGAGAGATGGCTTAGTGGTTACGACCCCTCTCCTCCAGAGAACCCGAGTTCAGCACCCAGAACCAAGTAGCTCACAATCACCTGTGACGCTAACCCCATGGGATCTGATACCACCTTCTGGCCTGTGGGGGGCACCAGCACATACTAACACACACACACAAGCAAATACTAAGACAAACAAACAAAAACCAAGAAAAGGGCTTGAAAAATGTTACAGCAGCAGGTAAAGGTACCTACTTGCCAACTTTGAAGACCTGACTTTGGTCCCTGGGATCCACATGGTAGGAAAGAACCAATTCTCAGAAGATGTCTTCTGCTCTCCACATGTGCACTAAGGTGCACACACACACACACACACACACACACACATAAACACTAAATAAACAAATAAATATTTTAAAGTACTAGAGGGGTTAGAGAGATGGCTCACGGGTTGAGAGCACTGACTCTGACTGCTCTTCCAGAGGTCCCAGGTTCTTCCCAACACCCACATGGCAGCTCACACCTGTCTGTAACTCCAGCTCCAGGATACAGCATCTTCACACAGACATACATGCAGGCAAACCACCAATGAACGTAAAACATAATAATGAAAAGTATTAGAAACACAGCCTGGAAAAGAAACAATGATAGATTCCATCCTGGTAGTGTAAGCCTACAATCCCAGCTACTCACGGGGCTGAGGCAAGAGGGCCAAGAAGTCAAGAACATCCTGGCAACCAACAGGACTGTTTCTTAATTAAAGATTGAAAACAGGGAGGAATCCAAACTGTTAGACAGTGACTAACATGTGTGAGGCTCTGGGTTCTACCTCAGCAACCGCCACTCTGAGAACAATGTCAACCACCACATAGTAAGACAAAAATAACAATCTGCAAAAATAATATAAAAGGATAACCTTGGAACCCCTTTTAAAGCCACACAGAAAGCTGGGGGCGGGGCACATGCCTTCCATCTTAACTCTTAAGAGGCAGAGGCAGGCAGACTTCTGTGGATTTGAGGCCACCCTGGTCTATGTAACAAGTTCTAGGCTAGCCACAGCCTGTTTCAAAACAAAGCAAAACTTAAAAACCCACACAGACATGAGGAACACAACAAAACATTGCCAGCAGGCGACCCCTTATCATTCCTGCCAGATGTTGTTAATGTGAAAATATCCCTGAGTGTGTGTGTTTTAGACCTTAGGGATGCTACAGCCTTGTGCAATCACGATAAAATAACTCTTGGGATCCTGTGTCTCTGGGAGACTCAGCTAGCACTCAGTAAAACACAGCTTCTTGCTGTGCTCAGCCTTGGGGAGTCCTCAGACAATACTGATAACATACCTCAAATGTCTGCACTAACTCCGAGAACCCAGACCCCATCCAGAAAACACAACTCCATCAATATGTGTCAGGTGCCTCTTTAATTGCGTCCTCACTCCAATGAGGAAGGATAGAAGACAGTGATTATTTCCAGGCTTACGCCCCGTCGGCCCCGAGGTAAACAGCCTGAGCTCCCCACAATAGAAACATGTTTTCCTTCCCCTGAGAATCCAATGCCTGAGCCAATAAAGGGAAGGATGCACACAGAAAAATAAGAAAATCTCATCAAGGGAGCCAGGGACATTTCTGAATTCTTTCCAGTGCAAAAGCTAGACATGGAGGTGCCCCTCCTAATGGCAACGATAAACCCCAACCATTCTCAGTTGAGACCAAGCTCCTCCCCAGGGAGCCTGAGATCATGGTTCTTTCCCCAGGGCTCCTCAGTGCTCTCAAGTAAGAGCAGAAGCCTGCCCAGTCATGGAAAGAGCCCATTGAGCAGATGCAGTCTTCCTCTTTGCTGGCCCCTACTGCTGCAGCTGTACAGCCATAAAGAACCAGCCAGTGTGCATGTGGCTGTGGGTGCACAAGGGGCCGGAGTGAGCAGCAAATCAGATGTATGTTCTGAAGCTGGGTTGACATGGTGGCAGGACATGGCATATCCCTGTGCACCACAGGGACACGAGTCCTCCATTAATTCTTCTCTGGACGGTTTCTGTTCAGGACTGCTTTAGGGGCAAATTCTAGCTTGTCCTTGAGGCTCACCACCTGAGTGTGGTCCTTGCCTAGCATCTCATCCAGCTTTCGGTCCTCTCGACGCTCCAAGATGCTCTTTTCCTCCTCCACAGGCTGAGGAGCCTTTCCCCTGATGAACCATTCCAGGTGGTAGCCCACAGCCCCAACCACAAAGGCAACAGGGAAGGTAACGTAGGGGGCATAGGTTCGAACCACGGTCCAAAGCACAGGCCACATGACATCTGCAGAAGGATAGAGAGAGTGTTAGGGAGACGTGAGCATCTCCTCCTCTAGCAAGTGTGGACAGCACATGGGGTGCTCTACTTATCAGGCAGCCTAGCAACTAAGTGAGCAGCCACCCAGCAGAGTGGCCAGCAGCCACTGTGCTCTGTGCAACACTTGGGTCCCCGAAATACTCTAGGAAGTTGCAAAAGATTCAACTGTTAAGGAAGAGAGTAAACATCTCTATGAAGTACGCAGTGCTCCTGTGTGCACATGCTCCTCACAAGGAACCTCCAAGCCTAATTAATGGAACTTGAAACCTGCTATGGTCTCAGGTCCCCTCCTCCAGATATCTGTCAACATCTGGGGAAGGAAAAAGAAGTCTTTTCTCTGCTCTAGGAAACTTCACATGCACACACACAGCCTCACTCTGAGTTCTGGTCCTCCGATGATAAGTAGTTCCTTTTCCTTGGGTAAAGCACAAGGGGCATATTTAAGTATGACTCATTGCCTAACTTGTTCTGACCTAAGATGGATAGGAGCTTTTGAAGCCTCTTCTGGCTTTCCTAACAATAACCTGCAGTTAACAGACCTTGATCAAAACAACTTCAAAATACACGACGTGCAACCACTGACATACTCATGCTTACACAGTAAGCCCCTGAAAACATCACATATAATACAGTATTCCGGATGCCCTAGAACCTTAATACTTAAAAAGTCCCTGTGGAAAATGCTGTAGAAAAACAAAATTATGGAGCTGCCCCTAGGGCCTCCTGCAATGAAACACCAAAGTAATACGCAAACCCATTCACTCAAAAAGCTACTTAGTCACAAATGATTCCAACTATTAAATTACTATTTATACCATTATTTAATTACCGCTACAATCATAAAAGGCCACTGGCAATGAATGTAATACCACCATCTACTGAGTGCTTCTTCCAAGCTGGGCCTTGGGCTAAGCACTTCACACCCACAATGCCCTCCAGTCCTCAGATGCACTCTGCAATCTTAGCCATCAGCATGAAGTCACTTGCCTGTGTTTATGATTCCACAAGTGTTTCTCCACCACTGCTCTCTCTCTTCCTCTATTCTAGGGTGAGACATCCAGGCCTCATGGAGGATTCGAAGGTGCCTCCTTTCTCCCTTTAGTTCTGATTCTCTTTGAGGGAACTGGTGTGTTTGTAAGCCCAAGACTACAAAGGTAGTCAAAGGTGAAGAACTGCAGCAGACTCAAGTTTCTCTTCCTGGTCCTTTGACCTGACACCATGCCCTGCACTCTACGTTATCTCCCCTGGCCATCGCCTGACCCTCACAATACCTCTGTGATGTAGGAACTATGTGCCCAAATTCTTGTCCAAGGCCATAGTGGCTCAAAGACACTGTGTCAACATGCCAAAATCGCAGGCCCACTGGTTTGGAGGCCAAGTCTGGGCTTTTTTCTAGCAGAAAGAAGACTCTGCAGATGTGAGCATGGTGTCTGTTCAAACCCTGAATGTATGGAGTGCCTCCTGCAGCTCACTAGCTTAGCTTTTCATTACATCGAAAGCCTTCCTTCCTTGTGAGCGCTAAATGAGATCTGAGAAATGCTACAGTGTATACATTAACAAAGAGGTTAGCTCCAAATCCTAAACTCCATTCTATTTCCTGCCTTCTAAGTTTTGAGGTTTGTTTGGTCGGTTGGTTTTGGTTTTTTGAGACAGGGTTTCCCTGTGTAGTCCTGTCATTCCAACTCACTCTGTAGACTAAGCTGGAACTCAGACTGGCCTGTCTCTGCCTCCTGAGTGCTGGGATTAAAGGCATGTGCCACCACCACAGGGCTTGTTTTTATTTTTAAGACAGGTTCTCATGTCGACCACCTGGCCTCAAAACCTCAATATTGGTGAGCAAGACTTTGACCTGCCGATCCTCCTGTTTCCGGTCCCCAAGTGCTTATGATTACAGGTTCACACCAGGTGCAAGTCCTTTATACTCTTCCTGAGTAGAGACTCTCAATTTTCCAATTTCTAGTAGGATGTATCAAGAACCAGTCCATGAGTATTATTCTTGAACATATAAAGCACAAGTTCTATGTGGTCTTGTTCACATTCCAGTCATCCATGTATCCAACACAACCTTCTCTGCGGCAGCCACTATGTGTGCCTTATTCTACCTGCCTACATCTCTTAAACACCCTGGAGCTCCAGAAGTTTAAGAACCCAGGATGTCCGAATCGTACTACGCTCTGTGGCTCTTCCCACCCTTGCTGTCCTCCCTGGCAAAGAGCTCCAAAAAAATGTTTGCTGGTCGAATGAATAACAGGCAGCATAAACAAGTTGCTTTGTTTATGGAAGACTACAGCAGTCTTCCACCCGCACTCACAAAGGGGTAGGGATACTATCATAAGCAGCTAGACTTCATGAAGTATCAAAATGTAAGTAACACAAGTGTTTGGCAAATACTGCGACGCCTGTTTCCAGCCCAACACGCAGGGGAGCCAGCCAAAGGCTCCAGGTACAGGTCAACCGGGCCGCCAGGAAACCTGTCCCAGTGCCTGGCCCACCGGAAGCTACACTCCAAATTCGAGAGCAGTCATAAGAGGTCCGAGAAGGTGAAACAATCAGCCTTGACAGCTACTCCAGTCAAGTTGGGATGAGAGCACCAGTGAGGTCCGGGTCATCAGCTCTTGTCCCCTGTCTGGTCACGCCACATGCGTGGCCTCGTCACCCTCCGGCCTGCAGGTGCCTGAGGCGGACAGATTCTGACCGCAGCCCACACTCGGCCACCAAGAGCTGGCCGAGACAGTCACGGAGACCGTCACTCCCTCAACTAGGAGGTCCCTGTGGGAGTCCGGGCCAGCGATCCTGGGAAGCGAAGTGCCCTTAGCCCTAGCAACTCACCTGCGGCCCAGCCCGCACAGCCCGGACCTGCCCCCGCTGCGCCCGCTAGCGGGGAGCAACACGGACGTCGAGACTCCCAGTGGCCCGCGGGGCGCCGCCCGAGGCCCCGCCCACTGGCGTCCGGACTCTCTCGGAGAGCAGCGATTGGCTAAGCTCTGGCCAAGCTACAGAAGAAAGAAAGCCAGGCACCCGCCCCTATGTTGGTCTAGAGGGAGAATAGTATAGCGCCCCCTGGCGGCTCGGAGGCTCCCCTGAGACGTTGTCACACGCTTATGAAGAAAAGTGAGTAATCACTTTTCCTGATCTAAATGAAGTTCATTAGGCATCTTTGGTCGGATGTTACCGAAACCGAAAACTCAAACCCCTGACCTCCAGAAGCTCCCTTTAGCGGAAGATAACCTAGTGCTTTAAAACCTCTTGGGATCTGTGCTTTCAGGCTGTGTGTCCTTGGGAACATCATTACTTAATCTGAGCCTCATTTCTTCTGCATAGCGAGCGTTAACACCATCCATTTTTCGCAGAGATGTTGTGAGGGTTAGATAATGTTTGTAAAGTACTGTGGCAGGAGCACAACACACAGGGAGCTAGATAGTAGCTTTGGTCAGTCTACAAATAGATGAAAGTACCAAGACCCTCTGATTACAAGTACCCACCCTTCTCCATGTTTCCACTGTCCCTGAGCAGACTTATATTTATCACATATAGGAAAAAGCCTCATGTCCCAAGCTCTCTAATGGTCCAACATAGTCCTGCCTTCCCAACCTGCCCACACTGATCTCAACCTGGCCAATAATTTCCTTACCAATAACATACTAAAAATCAACATTTGGAGCCTGTGTGTCCGTGTTGTTTCATCTACCTGAAGTGCTCTACCCACATTCCCTTAAGTTAGCTGTGAGCCGTTTCTCAAGGTCACGGGTACTCTTATAGGAAGTTTCTTCAAGACTGTACTGTCAAGTTAGAGATTCTTCCTATTTTAGATCAAAGAGCCCAAGCTAAGCCTGAGAGCGAAGACGGGGAGGAAGAAGCTGCCAGAAATTAGCAACCATAATTATGAGACCTTGATTACTTGTGCATTGAATCTGTGGGGAAGAGAAGAGATCAGAACTGTCTAGAACACAGGCTGGCATTTAGTCAGCCATTCTACAAGCTAGACATTGGAGATATAAATGGGGACTGTCCTTGGGAGTTTTATGGATAAAGAGGAAACAGGTAGGCCCACACAATGTCATAACAGAGGACACTATCAGCCCATACGAGAAGAGTGAGTTGAGGTTCCCTGGAAGGACAGATCCCTAAGCTGGGTCTTAGTAGTGACTAGAAGTCCCCTCCAGCAGATCTGAGTAAGCGCAAAAGCCCCAGCTTAAATGGAAATGACAGCACCGTGAGAAGTCCTGAGGTGCAAGACCAACCTCGGCTATATACCAAGATTTTCTATCAATTGAGGGAGGCAGAAGCAGGCGGATCTCTGTGAGTGTGAAGCCAGCTCTGTCTACTTAGCACTTCCATATCACACAGAACTGCATGCTGAGACCCTGTCTAAAAATATAAAATAATATAATATATCAAACATTAGAATTAGTTGTAGATTCAAATCTTGACTCTGTGGCCTGCTAATCTGAGAAAATATATTTATAACCTTTTAAGAAGGATTTTAATTATGTGTATGTGGGGGGGGGGGTGTGTGCAATGAGCGTAGGTACCTGTGGAGGTCAGAAGAGGGCGTCAGATCCCCTGGAGCTGATGATACAGGTCATGAGCTGTCAGACATGGATGCTGAGAACCAAACTTGGCTCATCTGCAAGAGTGGTGTGTTCCCTTAAGCACTGAACCATCTCTACAATGCTATTTGTATTTAAAAAAAAAAACAATAAGAAAATGTCCTAGGGCTGGCCAGATGGCTCAGCAGATAAAGGCATTTGCCAGCAGGCTGATGGCCTGAGTTAAATCCCCAGGACCCACATGGTTGAAGGAGACTCTCGACTCCTGAACCTTGTCCTCTGAACTCCCCACAGGGTCTGTGACATGTGAGCATCCACCCACACACAAATAAGAGTAATAAAAACATTTAAGACATCCTTTAGGGTTGCTGTTTTAAACCTTGTTAATGTACAAAAAGCACTTGTCACAGTTCTTGGCATCTGATCAATGAGTGTTTGGTAGCGAATGCTTCTTGACGTGTTAAGATTCCCCAGATTTGTGCTTCTTTCTGCAGTGTTCATTCCGGGCATTACTTCACTAATGGAAAAAAAAATCCAGGTAATATCTTCAAGTTTGCCCAGCCTACAGCACCTATGCTTCTAACTGCCCCTCAAAATCCACACCATTACCTCTTACCTGGACATATCAGGAGCTCTCCACCCTCCCACTGCCCCCTCAACGCCACGCCCATTCCTTTGACCAAAGGACCCTCATAATTTAAATACATCAATGAAATCCCCAGTTTGGCCACCGATCTCTTCTGGCCATGTTATCCAATCCTGGACTGCTCTGCCTTGTTCTAGCTTGCTTTTCCAATCACTCCAAACACAGTCATCTTTCCAAGCCTTTGCCTGCACCAATCCCTTTGCTGGAACTGTGCGTCCTCCCTTCCATTTCTTCTATGTAAGTAAGACAGTTGACGTGGCTTTCCCAAACTCACTGTGCTGCCGATGGATATTCGCTTCTGTTAGAAAATATGCTGACATCGAATTACCATTGTAACCATGCAAAGAGGTTGGAACATATTTAACAGTGACCAGGTCACAAGGACCCCAAATCTATGGGTGAAATTGCAAAGGGGTGTTTGTCTCCCTCAGCTCCGTTTCTTCCTCTTGATTTCCAGCATGAGGGAATTCAGGAAGAAGGCCTTCACCACCACACGCAGGCCACTGTGTTGTTTGTTCTAAGAGCAGGTGGGTCTCATACAACCGACATGGGCCTTGAACAAGCTGATCCTCCACTGGAATGACAGGTGTGTGCTGGTAGCTTTTTGTGTTTGTTGGGTTTTTTTTTTTTGAGATAGTAATTTTCTTTGTTGTTTTTAAGTTTTACTAAAAATTATGAGTGTTTTGCCTACATGTATATCTGTGTACTACATGCATTCCTGGTGCCCTTGGAGGTCAGAAGAGGCTGTTGGAACCCCTGGACCTGGAATTACAGTTTATGAGCCATCATGTAGGTGCTAGGAACCAAACCTGGCTCCTCTGGAAGAGCAGCAGCCAGTGCTGTTAACAGATGAGCCATCTCTTCAGATCCCTTTTGAGTCAGTCTTGCCGTCTGGCCTACGCTGGCCTTGAACTCCCTGCAATCTTCTTGTCTCAGCCTCCAAAGTGCTAGAATTACAACCAGGCCTCCAGTTGTTGTTGCTGTTGTTGTTTTATTAGTGGTGGTGCCTTTTAAAGATTTATTCTTCTGTGTGTATGAGTATTTTGCCTACGTGGATATATGTGCATCCCAGCATGTCTGGTCCCCAAGGAGGTCAGAGAAGGCATTAGAGCTCCTGGAATAGGTTTTACAGCCAGCCATGTGTCCTCTGCAAGAACATATGGCCTGAACCACTGAGCCAGCTCTCTGGCACTACCAGGTATTTACTGTGGAGATAGGATCTTGATATGTTAGCTAGGCTGGCTCAGAAGGAGGCTCAAAATGCTCCACCTGCCCAGACTCCCAAGTAGGCAGAGTACACAATATTGTGCCCTGCCATAGGTGGGTGTTTTCTTGTTGTTGTTGTTTTTGTTTTTTGTTTTGTTTGTTGTTGTTGGGGTTTTTTTTGCTTTTGTTGTTTTGCATTGTTTGAGATGATCTCACTGAGCAAGGTGTCGTACGTGCCTTTAATCCCATCAGTTGGGAGGAAGGGTGGATGGATTCATTGTGAGTTCAAGGCTTGCCTGCTCTACTTAGTGAAACCCTGTCTTTAAGAAAGAATCTTATGTATACCAGGATAGCTTCAAATTCTCTAACTACAAAGGACATCAAACTTCTGATCCTCCTGCCTCCACTTCCCACGTGCTGGGATTACAGACATATGACATCACACCTAACATTTGCCATCTAGAAATAAGACCTCCCAGCTCCAGAACTCTGTTCATTAGAAAGTATCTAGAATCATCGTTCTGTTATAGCTATATGCGTCATGTGCTCAGCTCCTCTGAGAACAGATTCCTCTTAGAATTATAGCTTTCTGCTCCTGTGTCTGGTTACTATCAGGCAGAGAACCACTTGTACCCAAGGACTGTATCTCCTGGGGCACAGAATACTTCTGGGGCACAGAAAAACTGCCTAGGTCACAGGACCAATACCAAGAGACCAGCCTCAAACCCTGAGGACATTTTATTTTGATAGTTTTGAGACAAGGTCTCTCTATGTAGCTCTCTCTGTCTGTTCTGGAGCTTGCTAAGTAGGCCAACCTAGCCTCAAACTCAGAGACCTCCCTGCCTCTTCCTCCCAAGTGCTGGGACTAAGGTGTGTGCCACTATGTCTGGCTCCTGGGGACATTTTAAGCATATGCTCACAGCAGGATGACCTAATGGCATTGACTTGCTTCCTTTTGCCTATTTACACCTACTACATGAGTTCAGGAAACCTACCCCTGTTTCTGAGCAAGGACACAGGTGCCTGTGAACACTGTAATGTGGCCGAGTATACTGTAGACTCTGAGTCTTCCTAGCTTCAGGAATAGGGGTAAGGAGTGTAAGCTCTCCAAACGTGTCTCCTCATCTGAAAATCTCAAAACATGCTACACAGAACTGTTCTGTTCACTCAAAACTCACTTGCATCCCAATTTCAGGGTGTAAAAAAAAATACAATCTCAAGAGAAGTAATGTCTGGAAACCATGTAGAAAATAGACAACTTCTGGTCCAAGTGTTCCCACATTTGGTTGTGTGTCAGAATCACCTGCAGCACTGTTTGAAGCCCATTGGAGGGGGCTGGAGAGACGGCTCAGCAGTTAAGAGCACTAGCCATTCTTTCAGAAGACCCAGGTTCAATCCCCAGTGGTGAACAACAGTACCCACATGCAGCTCCAACCGTCCAAAGTCCACTTCCAGAGGAGTTAAACTTTCTTCTGAATTCTGAGGTACACATGCCACACATATACATGTATACAGGCAAACACTCGTGCACATAAA